TCCCTCATCACTTAACGGATATAGATCGAACTCGCTGATCGCTAATACTGTATGCCTCTTGTTTAGTAAAAACATCCCCACGCAGACCTTCACTCCGCGCTACCCTTTAAAAACATACACACACCTCCTCATCCCTCACTTTCTCCGCCCATAGAGAGGGGGGGGGGAAAAGTCAAACACTAAATACCCTTTACTCTATAGCATTATACCAACAAATGCATCATCAACGCCACTTATCCTCAACACCGCATACCCGCACTCCACCTCCAGCGTCTCCAGCCACACCCGCGCCACATGCTTGTCGACCCGGATCTCCAGGCCCGGCACCGGAATGCCAAGGCTGTGCAGCCGCTCGAGCTCGGCGCATTCAAGCTCGTGCACGTCTTCTGGCGTGAGGTCGTCTTCGGGTGCTGTTGTTGTTGGGGCCGGGGCCGGGGCCGGGGAGGGAGAAGGGGAGGGGGCGGGGGCGTTTGTCCCGCCCGAGGCTGCCGGGGTGGAGACGGCGCTGGTGGTGTCTGTGTCTGGTTTTAGGAGTGTAGATGCTGATGTTGATGTGCCGTTGTGTTTAAGAGGAGTGGTGGTAGTGGTGGGGGCAAAGGAGGTGTGTTTTATCTTTGGCTTTTCTATCGGGGCAATGTTGGGGCCGAATTGCGCTTCGAGTAGCATGCAGAGGCGCGCGAGGCGTTCTTCTGCGGTTAGGTTGGAATGTGGGTTTGGTAAGTTGAGGGGCGGGGCGTGCGAATGTAGATGCTGGTGCTGTTTGCTTGAGCCTGCAGAAGCAATACCAAAAGTTAGAAAACGGTGAAATATTTGCAAAGGGGGATGACGGACGACAGGGGTTTCATACGTTTTACAGAAGCTGGGCTTGTCTCCACTGTCAGCAGCACGGCCATCACCGCATCGGCAATCCCATCGTTCATCATATTCCCTTCCCACTCGACCGCCACCTCTCGCGTCCGTGGGGTGTAGCGGATAGTCACGCAGCCCATCACCAGATATGCTAGTGATTCATCTGTCGGAATCTCCTCATCAGCTTCCTCTTCCTCCTCTTCTTTCTTCACAAGCCCACTCTCCTCTTCAAAACCGTTCGTCTTTACGTCCTCAGTCTTATGGCGCTGGGGACGGATTTCCTCAATAGACCCAAAAGTCCCCTCCAGCGCCCATCGGATCAAGTCAATACTCGCTGTGCTGAGCGTAATAAGCTGCTTACAAGTGATGGTCGTGGTAGCAAGCCCTGCATACTCTCTAAGATCTTCCGGCGCCATCAGGGATAACTTGAATCCGTTTTGTACAAGAACCCCATTCATAATTCGCGACTCGTTATGGTCGGATGGTGGTGAGCTCTCTGCGAGACGCCCAACAACTTTGGCCACCTTGTCGACTTGGAAGGGTATTCGGACTTCCTCGCAGTTTGCTGGTGTATATACTTTGACCTTGACGGTTTTGTCCGCATTTAAACTTAGTAATTTTGATTTCAGGCGCATCATTTGGTTTTTTTCGCCGTGAACAAGGATCTGTCACGAATAGTTAGTACAAAAAAAGTACGTATAGAGATAAAGTTTAACAGGAGGTGGTTAAATAACTTACCACAACAGGGGCAGCAACTTCCTCAATAAATTCGCGATTCTCCATCCCATCTACGTGGGCCGCAAAACTGATTTCGTCCACGGTGCATCGCCTCGGAATCATGACTTTTTGCTCATCATCTCCAGCAGCCATTCTCCTGGCTGGACCAACTGCATTTCTACCACTCATCACCGCTGGAATCTGCTCTGGCTCATTTAGGATCTGTTTGCCCATGGTCCCCTCAACACTGTAACCCGTCATGATAACACCGTTACGTTCGCTTGGTGCCCACCGCTCTAGAAGTTCCCGACTGGTGCCTGTTTGCAGCATACCAGGAGACGCAAGCATGACGCAGCCGCCAACATCATCGAAGCGCTCAATGCTCCTTACACTGCGTACGAAACGGAAATCCCACGGTCCGGCGCTTACGCTCTTGTCTCCGGAAGCTTCAGCCTCCGCCATTCGCTGGCGGAAGAGACGTTTGATATTTTCGTTCATGGCTCCGATGTATGTCTGATAGACAACCATACATCTCCGTGCGATGTTTCCGATATAGTAGATAGGAATTTTCTGCAGCTCTGGATGCCGACTCCAGTATTCGTCGAGAATTAATAGGAGTTCCTGCGCTCGTCCCAGGGCAAAAACTGGCATGAGAACTCGTCCTCCTCGATTCAGAACTCCGGTGATAGATTTCATGAGGGCTGCTTCTCGCTCCAAGCGAGGTGGGTTGGAAGATACACCGAATGTGGATTCCGTGATGAGGACATCAATTTTGATGCCCTTGGGTGCTTCCGCGGATATAAGATGGCGGTCTTCTTCACGAGAGTAGTCACCCGTAAATAGAATGTTAAGACCGGCGATTGATATTAGGAACATTGCTGCGCCAAGGACATGACCAGCGGGAAATGGAGTAATGCGAATGCTATTGATCGTATGGGTGGTGTTAAAATCAATGGCCTCTATTTGGGATAAGGTCGAAAGATGATCTTGTTCGGTGTAGAGAGTTGTGCGCTGGTCGGAGGAAGACGACGTATTGCTGACCCGGACATTGTCCTGGATCAACCATTTGTAAATAGCTTTGGTAGCATGGGTCATAAAAACCCGCCCTTTGAAATTGGTTTTGCTAAGGACGTACGGTAGACTGGCTGAGTGGTCCAAATGGAAACTAGGCGGTGCCAAACACAGGGGGTTAGCTATGTGTCCAGCTTTCAAGTATGGAAAATAGACCAAGATACGCAGCTTAAGGAAACAGGGGTGGGTATGGTATGTAGGCACTGGTTGCTAAGGTTGAGAGCAATACAAGGTGATACGGAGAAACAAGAAACATAGAGGACGAAGACAAAAAGTAATTTCATTTGTTTTCTGATATGTATATATATCCAGGACAAGGGAAAATAAAGAGGTGATAAAGGCTGTGTGGGTAATTTCCCAAAAAATCGAAGCAGAGTGCTGTTCTGCGAGTGCTGACAGTTCTTGGTACACAGTACAACCATACTCTTATCCCTCCAATCCAGAATATCCGCACCAAGATCAAAATTTAAGACATGGTAAAACAAAATAAACAGTTCTACGTACTGGCTTATAAGAAGAATATCGACAGTGCTGAGGTCGAAATCGTCGAAGAAGGGGAGGGCAGCGAAACCTTCTTTGGCTGGGTGCATTCCAGCATCAAGCTATACAGTTGGGAGTCAGCGAGACAGGACAGCGACGCGGCGCAACGGACAACGACAAACAAAACAACAATTGCTCACCATAACTGTCTTCCCCTTGTATTGGATGATATGACACGACCTCCCGACCTCATTTCCACCTCCCAGATTGTAGAACAGGAGCTCATCAGAAGGGTCAACGGGCTCATCACCGCCAGTGGCCTGGAGGGCAGACGCCTTTCGCTTGGTCGCCATGATATATATTGGTATATGTATTGATGTCTCCCACTTCCCTAGCTAGATAGACGTAGCATCCGTAAATTGTGTGATATTTTGACCTGTATCACAAATCCAGTATTCCCAGGCGCATCGAGAAGCAAAGCTTGTTTAACGAGCCATCCCTCTCTCGAGGACCGGTTGGGGCTCAGCTGTGGCACTCCAACGTAGGATATACCGGCCCGTAGATTGCAGTGGTATCCGCTGCAGGTATCTAGTGATCCCTGCTTGAATAATCGCGTTAATATTGCTCCTCGCACTTCGCGTTTATCGTTGAACGTCGTCGTTTGATCTTCCACCGCAGAAATTGACCTCAACAGATGGATTGCTTATATCATCAGCTCCTCACGTGACCGTGAGCCCTTATCAAAGCCGCAATCAAACTCCTTCCAACTTCCAAACAACAAGGACAAGGAACGAAGACAACATCAAATATCCGACATCTATATCAACACCCAGCTAGACAACTGCGATAGGAAGAATATATAGGAACCGTTCGTGACTGCCCGGTTATACGATATCGCATCACATCCCTGTCCACGCCTGGCAGAATGACTCTGAGATGACCGCGTTTCCTCCACACGTCTCTTGGCCGGGCGCATTGCTCTCCCTCTTCACTCGGTTCTTTTGCGAGTTGACGCTTCACTCGTGAGCTTAACAGCTATTCACATTTAGCGCTTCTCCTCTGCGCCTCTTGGGCGATCTCCTATTCACCATGGCCCAGACGCAACCTCAGCAATTTGCTGCACAGGCCTTCTCCCCGCCTGCCTCCACTCCGTCCCCATCTCCTGGAGCCCCGTCTCCCGTCAGCGGCATTGCCCCTCCTCCGAAACGACAACGCCTCTCACCTTTACCTCAGACTCACTCTCCCTACGCATCTCCTAGCTTTGGCACATTACAGCTGCCTCGTACAGGAAGCCCAGGTAGCGGCAACTTTGCCAACGGTACCTCCACTCCAACCATGGCTGCCCCTCCGCCTCCAGGAGTTATGGGACCACCATCAAGGCCCGTCGAGAAAGCCACCGATACAGCTGAACTAACCGATGTTTTGGCTTCATCTGGCATCGATGTGAGAGAAGAGGAGGAATATTTGACCCACGCATATGGACAGGCTCCCACGAAGCAACCGCCGCGGATCCAAACGAATTTCAACAACTCCTTTGCCTCCCAACCGTCTGCTGGTAGAGTCTCCGCAGGAACCAGCTTTGTCGGCTCAACGCTGCAGAAACCAACGCCCACGCAGAGTGCATTTCCTGTTCGTACATCAAATACTGCGGAACCCGCCACCGTACAAACGCCCGAGGCTACCGCCGAAGATGAAAAGCTACGCAAAGATACTGCAGCAAGCAGGCGTACACAATACCCGCTGCAGGCGCCTTTTCTATTCACGGCAATGGTGGAAGATCGAATACAAAAGCGAGCCTATGACCTTGGAGTGCGGATGCCGGCACAAGGCGTTTATCGTCCGTTCCCAGGCCGCGCTGCTGGCCCGGTCGAGGTGACAGGTCCGGATGGTTCTTCAGTGATACGTACCGGCAAAACACTTTTGACCCAAGATGCTCCACTTGGCGACATTCTGTCTTTGATATCTCTGGCCTGTGAAGAACGGCTTCGCTCTGTGGTCGATCATTCTTACTCGATTGCAAACAACCGACGTGCAAATTCTCACGGCGCTGTTCCATTAGAATGGAGCGACGTCGCAGTTACATTAACACCCCCTGGTGAAAAGGTGGAGGGCCCGTCGGGCAGAGAGACGGCTGCTAACACACTAACTCCTAAACGTATGCAAATGGTGCGGCCATGGAAACTTATGATAACCACTGAGCTAACTATCGTATCTACTAGGTCCTCTATCGGACACCTCAAAGAGTGATGAACCTCCAAACAAGAACCAGATCACAGTAGCCAATATCATCGCGAAACGGAGCCGCAGCCTAATCGAAAAGGACATGTCACATGAAGAACGACGGGCTCGTAAACGAGCTAGAAGGAGTGCTGACGCGATCCTAGGCGGTGATTCCAATAGAGCGGACTCTGTTGGAGCTACCACCCCCGGCGCCGCCACACCCACTGTTCTAGCCAGTGAACGTGCTCCGGATGACCGCAAAACCACAAAAAAGGACTTGAAAAAGGCCGACTCCAAGGTGACAGAAGCCGTGCAGCATCAGCAGTCCGTCGAAACGGCGCGGATGGCCACGAACAGCCTGACGTCGGGTGTCAGATTTGGCGGGAAAAAGAAAACCTATAGCTGGCTAACCAGTGGATCTCCTGCAACATCGCGGAGTGGTTTTTCCACGCCACCAAGGATCAGTGCTGCTGGTGCCGTTCCAGGCGCGTCTGCTGCAAAACCTAGTGGCGGTAGCGCTGGAGGAGCTAGTAAACCCGTGGCTAAAAAGATGGGAGATTGGCGAGAGGATGACAAGGAGCGTGGAGCCGGGATCCAGATTAGGGACATCCTTTTCGTGTTGGAGGTGGACGGGAAGGGCACGAAGCATCTACAAAAGGCTTACTCGAAGGAATCCAAAGAGGATACGGACAGACCGGTGCTGTAGTAGCCTTATTAAAGTCTAACCCCGCAAATTGAAGAAGTGGCATGTTGAGAGCAAGGAGAATTACGGAGCACAGGCCTCTTTGGTTAACCCTTGGTTGTCTCGTCTCATTCTAACTCCATTCCCCAGGTTGTTTGGCTGAGGCCGGTTTTTTTTCTTCCTTCTTTTCCAGTTTTACACATGGATGGGTTAGTTTATTATTAATTACCTTATGTTTTATTAGTTTAATCCATCTGCAGTTGCATAAATATGTACTGCTCTGCATGAAAGTGGCATCAAAAAATTGCTACAGTTCTGATATTCTCCCTATTTACTTTGTTCTACGAGCACTATCAAGCATAGCTCATCTCTTTCTCAGCTGTAGATTTGTCATTTTTCCACCTCCGTTTTAATTCATTCTCCACGGGTTCTTCTCCAGGCGGACACAGTGTCCATACAGATAATATGGCCCTATCCATGGCTATTACTGGTCGCCATTCTGAAGATTAATGGCTGTTTCCGCTTTATCTTCTTCCCTAACTATTTCGCTATTAGGAAATCACTTATTGTAAGACGATACGCGGGATCTGAGATACGCGTTGACATGGATAATAATTCCCAACTTACATAAATTCGGTGTGTTCGTGTCAGAATCTGCATCGACGGCGCATTTATTTATTTATTTATATTATTGTTTCGATGTCCTCCGGCGTTGGTTATCTCCCCACCAAATCCGGCCCAACGGGACATAACACCGGCCTTGCTTTGCCTTCACTGTTCCTCGTTTTTCTATATGAAAATTATGCGATGGCTACCTGCGAAGATCTCGGCCCGGCCTGTTCTTTTTGCTCTATATGGAGTATCCTGGTGGAGCTCAATGAGAAGCTCGAGGCTCGACTTTGTTAACTCAAGCCCTGTTTCTTTCCTGATTGTGAACATGTGGTTGAAATGTCTGCTTTTTCTATCTAAATCATTCATTTCATTAAATTTCCCCGACCCCCGACCCTATTGGCCCTTTTAAGCTGGTTTTGAATGGACAATAATACATGCACAGCAGCGGAAGAAACCCGGTTATACCGCTATGGATGAGTTATTTCTTGAACATAACGCGTTCTTACATGAGCCCATGCTTCTGCCTCTGCTCCAACAGGGGCATGCTATCCGGCGCCGGAACGATAAATACGTTCGCCGTTGGCGTTGTATGTACTTCGTGCTTCTTGCTTCATGCTTCGAGCTGCTTGCGGCGGAGCTTCCAACAATGTGTGGCCACCGTGCAGATTATGAAATTTGCCATTGCCAACAACGCAACGCGATGCGAGGGGGAAGGAAAAAGAGAATCAAAAACACGGGGGAGAATGCCATGCGGCCAGCAGCAATTTATATGATTGCATATTATTGCGTTTTACATATATCAGACCTCTTTGATTCACTCCTGTGCGTGCATCTCGGCGGACCGCCAGTGATATATATATATATATCTACCTATTTACTTCTCTCTTTATATATATGTATATAGAGAGGCATATATGCCACTCTCACATTCCAACAAGCGGATGACAGGAGAGGAGGTAAAATGATGTTCATCGCTTGCCTGATGGCCGTGGCCATCGCCCCGGGCCTTGTATCATCAACGCCAACTCCAAGTTCCAGGGAAATTCTTGCGTAAGTACCTCTACTCCAACCTTTTACACTCCAATTCGACCCATCGTGAGCAAATGTGAAGACAAAATGAGGCTGGAAGAGAGAAGAGGAAAACCACCTTATACTGACTGACAACATCCCTCCCCGCGCCCCGCAACTGCAGCCCCCGCCGCGCCGTAAGCATCCAACCCGGCCAACTCATAATAGACACTTTCGCCCGCCTCCAGCAACCCAGCCAACCTGGCTTCAATGAAACCACGACCAGTACCGCCGCCTCCGCCTGTGCTCTGAGCCCTAACTTCGACGCCTCTGCCTCCGAACCCACCGCGCCCCTCGCATACATCAACCCCGCCCTCCTCCACGAGGGTCAAGGAAACAGCAACAGCAGCAGCAGCAGCAGCAAATTCAAAAGCAACAGCAGCGCTAGTGCCAGTGCCAGTGCCAGTGCCAGTGCCAGTGCCAACGGCACGAGCCTCTGCGGCGCCTCCATCATAGTTATCAACCCGTTTTTGACCAAGGCGATAGCCGCGACGGTTGGGGGCGGTTGTGGGAACTGTTCGCTGTATGATCTTGAACTGTCGGAGGTGGCATGGCGGGAGTTGACGGGGACGGGGCCAGTTAGGGAGGGAGGAGGGGAGGAGGGGGAACCTGAGGGGTTGAAACCGGGCTCTGTGTGGAAAGCTAAAAGAGAGAATATTAGTGTTTCTATTCAGTGGTAAGTGATGGAGAATTCTTTGTCTTTTTTTCCTTTTTTCCTTTTTTCTTTTTTTTCTTTTTTTTTTCTTTTTTTTTTCTTTTTTTTTTTTTTTTGCCCTTTATTTGTATGTCTATCTTGTTACTCACAAGCATAAAAAACTTACTTTTTGTTCCCCTCTCAGGATGATTTCACCACTTTTATCAGCCAACAGTGGTCCACAGGTGTCGCTCGATATCGGTCAGAAACAAAGTCTGAATACGAGTCAGGCTTCAAATACGTCTAACAAGGCGCGTGTTCCCGTCTCTCCTGGAATGCGCCAAGTGCGAATATGGGAATCATGGCAGAAGGAGAGGGGGTAAGGGAGATTGCTAGAATTATTTTTTTAGGGGGGAATTGGATCTGTTATCTATTGCACAATTTGACATCACCCATGTTTATTTCTATCATCATCTTTCTGTATTATTATTCTTTTTCTTCACCTTCCTTTTTATCATTATAAGATTTCCCCCTGGAATTGATATATATATTTGTTGCCTTTTTACCCCCTTGTCCCAACTAATCATGCTACAAGTAAGCATCATTCATATTCATAGCATCTCTATGTATTTTCTAACAAGAATGATCCAAGAGGACAAAACAGGCCCATGACCCATCTGCCATACGGTAGTCGTCAGAAAATTTCCATCTTGCTCAAACAGCCTCGCCCAAATCTATGTGCAGCGCACACAGACGAAGCGCAGTGAGCGGCTTAACTCAACTCATCTCGCCCGCTAGCCAGCCAGCATAACATGACACGCCGCCCTTGGGCGGAGATATTAGGCGGGATAAAAGGGGATGGATGGCGGGTATGTCAGAAGTGACATGCTTTGTTTTTGTTCACCTTCATCATAAATATATACATATATATATGTACCTTGATTTTGCGCCCCTTTGCTCCAAAGTCCAAGGCGCGTTTTCGTCTTCCCAAGTGTGTGTATCATTCAATCAATCAAGCCAAAGAAGTAGGAAAACAGGGAAAACAAGGCAAGAAGAGGAGGGAATAAAAAAAAAAAAAAAAAAAAAAAAAAAAAGCAAAACAAGAAGTCATGGACGAGAACAAGGAAAAATAAAAAATAAAAATAATAGCAGTAGTGTAAAGCTTTCCCATGCACTGTAATGTACTTTAGTAGTAAGTAGTAGTAAACAAACAATCTCACACGCACACTGAGTGAGTTCCGCTCGCACACGCCTCCTCCACGCCAATTGATTACTGGTGATGAAAAGCCGCCCCAAAGCCAAAACAACCTAATTAGCCAAGTCAAAAAAGAAAAGAAAAGAAAAGGTAATTACTTAAACACCCCTTCCAACGCCCCTATTATTTCGTTCCTAATCTGGTCTATTGTCTGGCTCTGTTTTGTTTGTTGCTCCGGTATATTGATAGTGCTAGACGGGGGGTGCGTGCGCGCGGGTATATGCGTGTGTGAGGGAGAGAGAAAGAGAGAAGGAGAGAGGTGCGTGTGGAGAAGGCCAGAGATTAACGGATATCAGAGCACTGAACATAGACAGACACAGAAAAAGAAACATTCATTACTTCGTAAGCACACATAGAAAGCACCATGCAAAACTGTGGAAAACCATCCACACACATATGTATATAAATACCAAATCAAAATAATATACCCCTGATTTCCCATAACAATGAAATAGCGAAGGGAAAAAAAGCCAAGTAAGGGAAGAAGAAACGTATATAGACAGCCATTATCTACTACGAAGCAGACCTTGACGTCGCGGCAAGATCATCGCGGATTTGCTGCCCGATCCTCAGCGCCTCGGTGCCGTCGTCTATGATCGATTCTTTGAACCACGGGTGTTTGAGCGCTTGTTTTGCGGTGATGCGCGCTTTGGGATCGTAGACGAAGATGCGGCGGAGCAGGTCGAGGAAGTGCTTGTTGAAGTTTGTTGTGGCGGGGATGAATTCCTGGGAGGGAGGAGGTTTTGGTTAGTATCAGGGGTAAAATTAACAAGCAACAATAAAAGGGGGGTTGGTGAGATATCGTACATGGAGTGGTTTCATAGCACGGACGTATTTCTTTGATGCTTTGGATGTTTCCGCATTGGGATAGTCGAGTTTACTTCGGTTGAAGTATCTGTTTTTTTTCTCGTTAGATACAAATAAATAGAAAAAAAAAAAAAAAAAGGGTGGGAGGAGGGGAAAAAAAGGTGGAACATACTTAGCGGCTGCATTCACACTCCCACCACGGCCCTGCATTACCTGCTTGACAATTTTCGCGTCGATCTTGCCCCCACAGACACTCTCCATCATAGCCAGGTGTTCGAGATTATCATGTGTTTGGAAGAGGGCATCACCTGTGAAAAACTCGACGAGGATACAGCCAATGCTCCAGATGTCACAGGGAAAGCTCCAGCCTAGGTTCAGGATGATTTCCGGAGCGCGGTAGTGGCGTGTCGAAACGACAGATGAGTGGTACTCGTCATTGAAGGTGGCAGATCCGAAGTCGATGAGCCGGATCTCGCTATTTAGGAGGACGCGCCGTTGACGGGCGTTGCGAGAGGAGGTATGTGAAGATGATGGGATGGCTCGGTTGTATGTGAAAGTCTGGTAGGCATTGTTGACTAGGAGGATGTTTTCGGGCTTTAGATCAGTGTGGATCAGATTGAGATCGTGGAGGAAGGCAACGCTGGTAAGGAGCTGTCGAGCAAAGTTCTGGATCTGGCTACTTGGGAAGGGAACGAATCCGTTCCCTTTGAGGAAGTCGAAGACGCTCTGGCCCAGCAGATCCGTCACGATACAGATATGATTCCGAAAATCAAAGCAGTCCCGGAGATGGATGCATTTGTTGCGATTGGTTCTGTCGTTGGAGGCAAGCGTGGAGAGCACCCGCAGCTCGATCCGTGAAGCCTCTCTGTATTTTTGCACGGATCGGATGATCTTAACGGCACAGCGTGTCTTTTTATGTTTGTCATACGCCTCCACGACCTTTCCGAAGGTCCCTTGACCGAGTAGTTTGATAATTGAGTCTTATATACCAATTAGTAAGATGTGTGCTTTAAACAAAACCGATCAGGGTTAGAGACACTCACATCTCTCTGTTAAATCAGTGTCTGGGGTGACTATGTAGTGTCCATCATCGTCGTCTACCTTTTGGTTTTTAGGAAGATTGTACTGTTCAAAAAAGTTAGCCATGCCGAAAAGGGTAGTTTCATATATATCAGTCCCCCAGGGGTGGGGTTGGGAATGGTGGTGATGGTATGCATACATCTCGGATCACCGGTACAGTCACATCTTTGGCCTTTATAGGCGGTTTTGGAGGGGGTATATAACTGCTAAATGCATCGCCAGAAACCTCCAACTCCCTCCGTTTCTGTTCATCACGGGCAGATTTGCGCGTCACCACCCGCTTCCGCTTCTGGCCAATGGCAGCGGCGTCGTCGTAATATAAACTGTTCGACGCGGCACTACCGTGAGAGCCCATTGACGTCGGGGCAGTGGTGTGCAGAGAGGTAGTTCGATCCGTGGAGATGGAGGTGCCTGACGAATCTTCGCCGTATTGCTGGGGGTGGATAGAGAACGCAGGCCGGTCGTAGTAGGACATATCAATAGCGGTTTCCATGCCGGTGCGTCTTCTTTTGGTTGCGGGGGCAGGGTGGGCAGCGCCATTGATGCCGGACGCGATGCCAGACCGCGCAGTGATATGTGAGAGTGGCAATTTTTGGCGTGTGGAAATTGTTGCGTTGTTTTCTTGGTTGTTGATGCCATTGGGGTTGACATCGTCGTCATCGTCAATTACGATTATTTCTTTTGGCACTCCGTTCTTGTAGAACTCGGCCCAGTCAGGCTTTTTCCGCCGGCTCTGGGCAGTAGGTAGCGTAGTAGCAGAGGAGGGCTGGGACTGGTAGAGCGCCATATTGGCCTGATGGTGGCTTATGGAGGAAGAAGAGGCGGGTTTTGACGGAGCGGGGAGAGGAAGAGTGGCATTATTGGGCTGGGAGGAGGTTGCCGTAGCTGTCGGATAGGAGTAGGAATTGGCCAGACGAGAGGAGCTTGCAGAGACAGCGGTCACAGCAGACGACGAAGGATACGCAGTGGAGGCAGACTGGTGGTAGGTCTGGTGGTGCGGGTAGCCATAGTGTGGGTGACGCGATGGGTGCGTGGCCGTGGCAGTTGAAGGGGTTGACATGATGGGGTTTTTTTATTAGAGAAAAGCACTAGGTGACGGGGACGCTCTCTCTTCGCGGGGGAAGAAAAAGGCAAAGGGAAAACGAATTCCCTTGCTCGCTTTCGATGTGGACGAGGGTAGTGAAAAATATCAAGAAAAGAGAGGAAGAAAAGGGCGTGTGTCGCTCTTGATGGCCGCCGAGCGGAAGGGTAAAAAGAGGAGGCGACTCAAGCGGGCTTCCAGGCTAAGAGAGAGCCATGGACACCGGGGTGAGACAAAAACACCCAGAATTAGCAGTAGTAGATAGTAGTTGGGGGGTAGTGAGAGAGAGGAGAGAGAGGGCGTAGTTGACGGGTGCCAGAGAGAGCTGGATATGAGGATAGGTGGATGATGGCAGGGGGAAACCGCGAAAGGTTGCGGAGAGAGGAGAAAAAGCGGTTGAAGTGAGAGGTTTGTGGTTGTGGTTGTGGTTGTGGTTGTGGTTGTGGTGGAGGAGGTGGTCGTCGGTCCTGGTGGTGGGTGGTATGGTAGTGGTGGTAGTGGTGGTGGCAGCGGTGGCAGCGGTGGCAGTGGTTGGTGGTCCGGAGAGAACGTCTCCTCGCCCGGGCTGAGGACAGGGGAGGGAGGCAGACGGGACGGGGGCCAAGAGAAGAGCAGAGGCGAGCAGAGACGAGCAGACCCGACCCGATGCGAGGACGCTGGCGATGGAATGGCACCCTTTGATGATGGGCGGGAGATAGAAAAGAAACAGAGAGAGAGAGAGAGAGAGAGAGAGAGAGATAGATAGAGGCAGAGGCAGAGGCAAGGTAGAGTGGACTCTTTCGGTCTCTCCAGATCATCCAGCTTAGGATAGACGTTGTTCCGTCCGACGCTGGTTGACGGGGGATGTATGTACATGTACATACATTACGACAACTATTATACATAAGTTAGTTACCTACATATTAATTATATATCTCTATACACATGTAGATACGTGAATATGGATTTCTACTTCTGTGCAACTCCCCAGATATCTCGCTATCTCTGGTTGTGGCCACTGTGTGTGTATGTACAGTACATACATGTACATACATTGTTGCTTTGTGGATGGATCTACGGAGTAGATAGATAGATAGTTAAATACTTTATATCCGGGGGGCGAACATGGCCAAAAAACTCTACAACCAAGCGAGGAATATTATTTATTTATTATTTATTCCACACAAATACCTCCACTAGTTATGTATCTCTCATGAGATTTGATGTAGTTATGTATTGCTTTCCTTTTCTTTTTCTTCCTAAAAAAATAATTATCAAAAAATAGAACAAAAATAAGTACTTTTTACTCTATATATTGAATTTTATATGCAGGACGTGGCATTAAATAGTAGGGTTGTGTTGTTACACTGCTGACAATTCGCCAGGTTTTTTTCATTGCTGGAGCAACAACAACAACCTCCTTTTATCTTGAAAAAGGAATGAGTCTTCTCCTGGTTCATATGTAAAATACCCAGCTATTAATAAGTCGGATGGATCCTAAACTCAATCTGCTCATTACAATACGACATCTGGACATGCCAGTCATTAGCCATACTATACTACTACTACTCTACTATCTACTAGTTACTGTACACTCATACATCGTCCAATATACCCTCGTAGCGCCCATTAGTTAATAGTTCTTCATATTAAAATGCCTGACCACAGTATTCCTGCACAGTGCTCTCTCTCGCCCCTGTAAAATGCGCGACTAAAAGGAAGCTAACATGTACAGATATTCACTCCTTCATGACTGGAAAGGATAACATATTTAAATCAAGTCCGCCGGGAGCCTGTAGGTATCTTGTGGCCTATGGATGAGGCTTATGAGTACAGTAATCTCTTTTGCTTCTTTTTGGTGTTCTGTTATTCTGACGGAGGACAAATATTTTTGGGAGGCTCCTGCTGGAGTGAACGAAGCGGGAAGTTCGGGTTCAGACGTTGCCATAACTGTGGAAGAGACCACATATCTCCGATCCCTTTGAGCGCTTGATTGTCCCTTTTCCGTCCTCTTTCCTGCCTTCTAGAGCCAGCAGCTGGAACGAGTACACGGGAGGAGTTGCGTGGTTTCCCCTGCGCGATAAAATAGACATGGAAGTTTTTTTTTTTATAGTCGCCAGCCTCTGTTTAACAAGATGGTAACAGTGTAATTAGGGCAGATGAATATATAGATCCAAAAGTTTATCGAGAAGCAGGAAAATGAAGGGAGAAAGAAGCAATATTTTATATAACCCGAATCAGTCAAATCTAGACATCTATATTGAACATCTATGCCACTATACAGTTCGGGAAAAAAAAAAAAAGGCAAGAAAAATATCAAGAAACCCACACGTCTAGACGCCCAGCTGGATGTAACCAGAAAAAGAGAAGAGGAAGAAAGAATCTAAAATCGAGATGGCATAAAAACAAACAGTGATATCGAAAGGGAATTTTTTTCGGGATAGTCGAAGAGGAAGATCATATACCCCTGTTGAATTCAACTTCGTCGTCCTTCCCACCGCGGCCCCAAAACTCCTTTTCCAGGGACCGAGCACTAACCGCTTGTCGTTGCGGGAATGCACCAAGTGCGAATGGAAGTGCACAGAGGGAGGTCGTTAGAATCAAGCCTGCACGAATTAGCCACAAAAATACAAGAATACCTCTCTCGTACCTAACTTGATAAAGGAGGAAAAAAAGGAGCATACCTAGGTTGATAGGCATCACAAGCCGAGGCCGCGCCTTGAGCCAATGCTTCGCCTGCAGTCGTACGAGAATCAAGGGGGGAATAGCCATGACCGGAGTCGCATTGAGCACTCGACTAATCGCCGTTTCCCCTACCGCTAACGTAGCGGCCTTCTTGCTTTTCCCTAGACTTTGCACCTCCACGTCTCCGTCCGCTTCTCGTTTCGCCTTCTCTTCGTCGGAGAGGACGGGGTAGATGTCGATTCCCTTGCGGATTTCCTCGCCGCGCATTAGGAATACGTTCAGGGCGCCGGCGGTGGCGACGGCCGCGAAGGGCACGAGGCGACCGAGGATCAATTTTGTGTTGGGCGACACCCGTTTTAAGCGGGGCACTACGGCATTTAGGCCCAGGGCGACTGAGCACGAGGCGGAGACGGCCATGAGGTATGATTTCGCCATGGCGGAGTAGGAGAGCGGGGTTGACTTATTTGCGTTCGCGTTGTTGATGGCTACGTTTAAAGATTGGTTGGCAACCTGCCAGAGAACTATACCCCTTGTCTATTTGTCATTCATGAGCTGGTAGATCTTCAATTGAGAATAACAAGAGAAAATATATGGGTTTGGAGACATACACCGAGGCCGGGAGTAAGCATTCCTGCAGTCACGATTAGATTGGACAGGACGAAGCACGACATGCGAAAAGGGAGAAAGACTGGTTGACCAGTATCTAGATAGGAAATTAGCCGTTAGCATTCAACGCTTCGCTATTGTGTAAATCGACTTCACAGGGAGAGCAACTGCTAGCATACCAGGGTGCAAAGTCGAATCGACAATTCGTTTCGCCCGCCATAGCTCCGGTGTCATTGACGGGACATGGCCACTTTTATATGAGGCAATGAGGTTTTTAGCCTTCTCCAGGCCAGCGGAAGAGACAAATAACGTCCTGGATAAAGCATTGACAGCGATTAGTCATTGCCGAAGCAAGAGAATAGAAATGAACGACTTTGCCATGAAGCCTGCTCTAGACAAGACGTTTTGATGTGTAGTGTGAGGGTGAAGAGCCCTACCTAGGGTCCGAAATTTCTGCAGCCTGTTTAACTCTACCCCAGTATGTCCTCAGATCATGTCTAGAAGGAGGGAGATCTCGATTGCCGGAGATTGAAGCCGCCATGGTGGCGGCAGGGGAATCAGGGATGCGAAAACCCCTGCAAGCAAGACAAAAACTGAAGGGCGCAATAGAAAAGAGTATAAGCAAAAATCAATGGGCAAAAAAAGAAAGGACTCGAGCTTAGAAAGCCCCCTGCCGCACGAACGAGAGAAGTGCGATTCTGCACGGGGCTCTTGATATCGTTTCGGCGAAATGGCGGCGGTGAAGAGGAAAAAACAAAAACCTTATCTTGCTGATAAGATCTTATCTGATCTGGGTTACATAAATCAATAACAGTTTGTGTTGGCCCTTACGGCCGTTGCGGTTAGCGATCCCACTAGATCACGTGACCCACCACTATATTATGTTCCTGTAGATAGATCTATCAATACAACCTTCAACTATTCTACAGGTTATAGCCTGGATAGCATATTTTTCTTTTTAGAACATTGTATCAACATATTTTTAACATGAATAGTTCACCTTTTTTGAAAAGACTCTCACTGTAGTGTACGCCGCTACATAGAGTCAGATATAAGAGTAAAAACTTGTCTCATTCTCTAAAAGATGAGAGATGAGTGTACACTCTTATATATACAGTGATTGTTTTATAGAGATTAACTCTCATAGAAGAAGTGATTGCATATGAAGAAAAGAACAGAGAAAGAAGATAGAAGTAAAAGCTTCAGAAAACAGTAAGAGATGAAGTGAAAGCTAGAGCTAAATAGAGAATTAACTTGAATAGAGAGTAATTATCTATGAAGAGAAGAACAGAGACTCTGTAGAGAAGAAGTGAATACTCTCATAGAAGAAGTGATTACATATGAAGAAAAGAATGAAGAGAGAAGATAGAAGTAAAAGCTTTAGAAAATAGTAAGAGATAAAGTAGAAGCTAGAGCTGAATAGAGAATTAACTTAAATAGAGAGTGAAAGTATATCACAGTCTCTTTATCTGAAAGAATGTATCTGTGAAGAAAAAATAATATTGAAAAAAGATAGTGAATATCACAGGCATTAGACTTAAAGAAGTGCTAGTTCATTTATATATACTACAGATATTATAGAAAAGAGAAGACTGAGTAATAGAATTACTTATTCATACAAAGAGTGATTAGATATAAGAATTATTTATCTCTATAAAGAATGAAAGATGTAAGAATAACTTGAAAAAAAATAATAAGAAAGAGACTGAAGTTCTTTAATCTAAAAACAGCTGTAAGAAAAGAAAGAGATTGTAAAGAAATTATAAGAAGCTTGAATAAGAAAGAGTTCTTTAATGAGATAGATGAGAGTGAAAGTTTCATTATGATAGAAGAAAGATTCTATAAGTGATAGAAATTAATGTAGATGAATAATCATATTAATATATATATTATAATCACATTCTTCTTATTCTTCTCTTATTTCTTACACATCTTGCTAAAAATTTTACATAGTAAAATTAGTGAAAATTGTGATATATAGAAGATTAGATCACAGAAATAATAAGTCTTAAGAAGAAGTTAACAGCTGTGAAGATGAGTGCAGTAAGTATGATAAAAAAGATCTTAATCTTAGAGAAATTATTTCAGTTGTTAAGTTAGAAGAAGTGTGATACTCTTCTTTATATAAGTGATAGAGAAGAGAAGACAGATGAGAAGACTGATAAAGAGAAGACAGATGAGAATGAGATAAAAGAAAATAATAAAGATAAAAAGTTAAAATTTCAGACAGATAAGCTTCTAACACTATCAATTTATCTTTTCATATACAAAGTGATCAAAGACTAAGATAAGGAAAAAGCAGTAACATCTCATTATCACTTAACTAGACTGTATAATATCACTGCAGAAGAGTCAACAGATGAATTACATGATAGAAGCTTGAAGAGTTAAGAAGAATCTAAGACTGTGATATAAAAGCTTATAACACTGTTTACTTATTTGAAAAAGTCATGATTATTCACATACTGATTTTCAGAAGAAGATATTAAGATGAATGAGAAGAAAGAGAGTTAGAAGACTGCTGTGAGAGCAGTCAATGATAAAGAGCTGTAAGTAGAATTAAAAGCAGAAGCTGAACAGACAGATACAGATACTGAAGAACTGTTATTAACAGAAGAGAATAAGAAGTGCTGAAGAGCTAGTTGAAAGCAGTATGAAACTCTGAGTGATGATATTTTGAGAAAGTCAGAGTGAAAGAAGAATATTAAGAGTGATCAGATATCTTAACTATATAATATAATATGTATGAAATACCTGCATCACAATGACAAGACTGACTTGCACTTTTAACAGAATAATAAGCTCACTCATCTGAGCATGTTAATCATATGAGACCTGACTGTGAAGAGGCTTGTAGATACTATCTCAATCATTGAAAGACTTATAAGATGTAGTAAGAAGATGTCATTTATCAATCATAAATTTTTTATTTTACTCAGTTAGTGATTGATTAAAGATTTGAGATAGTTATCTGCTAAGTAAAAGTTATACTGATAAATGAATAATAATGAGCTAATCACTTCATAGATTATTAATTCTAAGAATTTCACTAATCAGAATATTATTATTCTGCAGATCTGCAGAGAAATAGCTTCTATGTTATATTAGTTTTATATGAAGAATCAGAAGTGATTCAAGAAATATGTGATTATCTCTGTAGATAATAAATAGATGTAGTAAGAGTATGATACTTATATCAACTGTCAGTGAGAAAATAAGAGATCTCACTGCTCTTTAAATCACTGTAGTCAGTATGAACTCAGATGAAATATGAATAACTTACTATTTAAAGAGAGTATATCTGAATTTGAAAAGACTGTAACTGAGAAGATGAATGTTGATAATATTATTGAGATCAGTAATACAGAGAAGAAGAACAATTTAACTATAGTTTTAATAAAGAGAATGTCTATATCTTTCAAGCACAAGGCATTAAGTCTGATTGCACTGAAACTCTTAAAATATGTTCAAATCAGTGAGTGAGACATCTTGACATCTGTGAAGATGAGTGATGAGATGAAGATAAGTCATTCAACTTCTGCTAAGATAATTCATAAGACTAAGATAAGCAGTGTGTGATAATCATTGATTCTGTCTTCTGAAGACTGCATGATTGATTATAGAGCTCAAGATTTGAAGATACTGAGACAGCTGCCTAATCTTGACAAGTACAATCTGAACACTGTTCAGACTGTGTGAAAGAAACTGAACAAGATAGCTGAGTTTATCAATGTGATTTCAGCTGTGAGAGATACTGTGATTAATAATTATTTCTTTAAGTTGCTCAGTGAGATGTGTTTCAGTGATCTTATAAATGAAAAGTTATCAGCAGATATTGCATTTTGAAATGCATATCTCACTGAGCAGAAGATCAAGCTGCAGAAAGAGCTTGAAGATGATTGATAAGAAGAGACAGAATGAAATGATGAAAAGAGTGAAAGATAATGATTTTCTTATTTTCTTTGTCTTCTCATTTAATAGCTAAAATTAGATTGTAATATATTTTCTTTCTTTCTTTCACTCAGTCTCTATTTTACTTTTCTTTCTATCATTTACTCAGCTGACTGCGAGGCTTCTTGATCATGAAGGCCTTGATCAGATGTGAAGTGTCTTATGTAATGACTTCAAGAGACTCTCAGATCAGGTCTTTATATCTCTTTCACTTAATCTGAAGATAAGTCTTATCATTCTCTGTGTGCTTTCTTATGATATTTTCAACTTCAAATTGTAACTAATCATCAATAAGTACTGATTCTGATGATAAATGCTTCATATCTGCTTCTGTTAACACAGTCTTTTTTAGATGAATAATGAAGATTACTGAGTGCATTTATCAATCAGCTAGTAGTTTCAATTGAAATGTGATATCTGATATCTTCTGAAGAACATGAAATAAGTCTATCTGTAAGAGTGATAGCTTGAATGTTTCTTTTAATATGTAGCTCTTTTGAGCTTTTTAAGTGAGGTTTAAGAAGACTCAATCATCAATCTGAATAGTTAATTGAGAATGAAATCAGTTGAAGAACTCAGTCATTCTAGCTTTTACCAGAGTGTATGAGTCTGTAAGAATAAGTGCTCGCAGGCGATTATTCAGGTGTTTGCAGCTTGGTGTGATATGTACTGTTAACTACTAGAAGTATTTGCGGTAGAAAGATAAAATATAGAGGTCAAATATATAATAGCATTCAAGCTGAGTTATGAATAGTATTCATGAACTTCAGTCTATATAGTTGTATGTAGTCAAGAGTCACTAGCTCTATTGATTATGTAAGAGATAGAAATAGAGATAAAGAATCTATAAGAAGCAGAATTTCTTATATATTTCTCTCTCTCTAAGACTTTATCTGCAAAGCCTTTCACTGAGTGACTTCATAGTCAGCTCAGCACTGTAGTGATACTCACTAAAAACTCTTTATATCTATAAAAAACCTCAGTGAGGAAAAATCCCTTGTTACTATAAAGAGAAAAGAGTCTGTTACTCAGTTTCTTATTCTGCAAGATTCTTTGTAATCTACAGATTCTTCTCTAACTATCACACAGATTCATCTCATATCTTTCATATAGAAGAGTTTCAGTTGACTCTCAATTATTTTCATGAGATTCTTATGTAATTATTATACAGATTCATCTTGCAGATGAATCACTCTCTGTGAGATCACTCTTATCAAAGAGAAACATTTATGAGTTAATCTTTCATTCATTCTCACAAATCATTGCTCTTTGACACTGTAGAATTGTGAGGAATTTTTCATTCTTTCATTAACTCTGTAGAATTGTAGAATCAAGATATCTACAGTCTGTAATCACTCTTTATAGTTATATAAAAAGATTCAGATCTGTGATTCATAATCACTTTTATTTATTAAAGTGATCTGACTGTTTTATAAAATTACTTACAGTGTAAGTAAATCTCTCTAGAGTAGTATAAATATTTCAGATCTATTCACAGAATCTCATCTTCTTTTTTCTTTTTCTGTAACAGCTTTCATTCTTATAAACTGTGAGTATTCTCATTCATCTGTGAAGTGTTTTCACTCAGATAATAGAGAGAGAGTGTTTCTGATAATATCTGTATATTAATTCAAGAACTTTTCAAGAATAAAAATTTTTTCAATTTCAATCTCTTTACAAACAATGTCTGATCACTGCTGAGCTTCTTGTAAGTGTTCTTATAACTTCTCTGATTGCTTTTTATCAGCTGATGAAGCAGAGACACTGCTGCTTATGA